GGGAGACTTAGCGAGACCCTGTCTCAGAGTAAAAACAAAGGCTGGGATGTAGCTTAGTGTGAAGGCTCTAGGTTTAATCCCCAATACAGGAAAAACACAGAAAAAGCTAAGTCAGGATTGGTCATGTAGCTCAGTGGCAGAGTGTATGCTTAGTTAGCATGCAAGGGCCCTAGGTTCAACCCTAGCATAAAAAAAAAGCTAAATCAGTCTTCACCCCTCCTTTACTCAAAACAGTCTGCTGGCTCCCACCCTCCTCAGTGTGAAACCTGTTGGCCCTATAAGCTTCTTCCATGTGGCCTTCAGGGGTCAGACCTCAAAGCTGTGTTTTCTCTTGCACAGCCTTCAGGCCTTGCATCTACTGTTTCCTCCACTACAAAGGTCCCTCCCCTACGGGTCCAAATGCCTCAATCCTCCTATCTTCAGACAAAGCCAGCTCTGTTATGAACTATGTGACCCTCCCAAAATTCGTATGTTGAAACCTTACACCCTACAACATGACTTTTTTTTCCTCTTGGTTTTTTGAGGCAGGGCCTCCCTACACAGTTTAGGCTGGTCTTGAACTCATTGTGTAGCCCATACTGGCCTTTAAAACCCAGCAATCCTCCTGCTCAGCCTCCCAAGAGCCAGCATCCTAGGTGTGCAACACCATACCCAGCTTATGACTGTATTTAAAGACAGAGTCTTGACCAGGCGGTGGTGGCACTCGCCTGTAATTCTAGCACTCAGGAGGCTGAGGCAGGAGTATTTCGGGAGAGTTTGAGGTCAGCCTGGGCTACATAGTGAGTTCAAGGCCAGCCTGGACTACATAGCAAGAACCTGTCTCCAAAAACCACAAAATAAAATAAGTAAATAAATAAATAAATAAGTAAGTAAATAGATGGATGGATGGATGGATGGATGGAAACCAAATAGGCCAGAACTTTGACTTTGGATCCCCCAGCCTCCTGAGCTGGGAAAACTAAACTTCTCTTGCTTAAGCCCCTCTACTCTTTGGTATTTTGTTATGGCAGCACAAGCAGGCTAATACATCCTGTCTTGGGGAGTTTCACCTCCCACCCCAACACCTGCCAAAACCGGAGCCAGGCCAATTTGGGAGTTTTATCTGCCTCCCGACCCAAGTGGGAGCTCAGCTTCAGCCAGGAATCTCCATGCAGCATCTGCCTACCAAGAATACTGCCCTGAACAAAGTAAATACTGAAAAATGCATTAAACACACTGAAAGCAGAAGGAAGCTGAGGCAGGAGGATCCCTTGAGCCCAGGACTTTAATGAGGCCACCCTGGGAAACACGGCACGACCTCACCTCAAAAGATAAACATCTGTGAAAGATACAAACCAAGAGCAGACTTCAATTATGGGAGAGCCAACAACCTAAAACCTGTGACAAAATAGGTTAGAAAGAGCAAAGCTGAAAGCAAACAAGAGTGCCACTTCATGTACAAGGGGCTCCTTTAAATCCCAAGGCCATAATGCACGGCTCAACCTGAAGCAGAAATGAAAGAATAAAAGGGCAAAAGAAAGCCCGCTTGGGCCTCGGAGCAGAGACCTGGAAGAAGAGCAGGATGTGAAAATGAATTAATGCAGTTATCAGGCTTGGGAAAGCAACTGACTGGCATGTAGATGTTTTTTACGGGCAAGGCCTGGAAAGAGGTCAGGGGAAGGCTGTAACATGTTTAAACTTTAAAAGTCTAGGGCCGGGAATTTAGCTCAGTGGTTCCTCTGCCTGCCCCGCAAGTGCAAGGACCTGAGTTCAATCCTCAGTACCAAAAAAAACCAAAAACAAATAAACTTTAAAAGTCTAAGAAGATTAAATAAAATGAAGTTTTTAAAAAGCTTCCCATTACAGGTACAAAGCACCACATAATTGCAAATTATTACTGCTGCCTTTTAATTTCCTTAACCAAAATGAGAAAATTCCTTAAGCTACCAGTGGTACCAGAGATGGGTCCTCAGATGGAGCCTGGGTTTCTGTTCAGAGACAGACAGGCGGCAATGGGCAACTCAGGATTTGCTATAATCAGCAAACTAGACCTTACACAACTTGGGTGCAAGACACTAGGCTTTAATCAAGAAGGGTTTGTTCAGCAGCACCCGGCACCAAGTTAATGGGGGTTGGACAAGTAAATGGACGGATAGGACAAGGACAGGGACATGGATGGTGGCAGGAACAGTGGCAGGCTATATATATGAGCTTGCCCCTGAGATGCATATTTCATTTCTGCAAGGTTAAGCCTACCACACTTTGCTCCACAAACGCGACTGGCAGTATGGCAAAACTGGCAAAACCCCCTACAGTATTCTAGCCAAGTATTTCCATAAGCATCTTTCAGACATTTTTTTTTATGGAACGCTTCACAAATTTGCATGTCATCCTTGCCCAGGGACCATGCTAATCTTCTTTGTAACATCCTTTTTTTTTAGTGTATGTGCTGCCAAAGTGAGCACTTTCAGACATGTTAACATCCATTTAATCTCAGCCTAATGGGCCACAGTCAGAAAACACAACTGCCAGGCAACCATCTGAAAAAATGGTCAACAAAAAAACTTCTAAAATACCTATTTTCTCACATAAATTAGTTCCCATTCTATCCAAAGAAACCAGAGGAAATCAGCAAGGGGTGGCGGTGCACATCTGTAATCCCAGTCCTCAGGAAGGCTGGAGCAGGGGAATCACAAGTTAGGGAAACACTGTCTCAAAATTTTAAAAATAAAAGGGCTGGGGATGTAGCTCAGGGCAAAGGCCCTGGGTTCAATTCCTAGGATGGATGCGTGGATGGAAGGAAGGAAAGAAGGAAGGTTGGAGAAAAGAAAACAAACCAAAAGAAAAATTGTCTTGGTATCAAAATAAGCCAGGTGCACTCTGGCAAAGGCAATACAGAAAGCAGATACCTCACTGGAGGAGGTCAGGTGGAAGGAGCAGCAGGCAGGGCACACCCACCACCTTCTTTCAACTAGTAGGTGTGGCATAAGAGCTTGCACAGTGCACACTCACAGATGGCTAACAGCTATTAAATTTCGGATGAACGAGGAGTGAACAGTCATACTTCATTCATAAGGTCAGGTCAGCCATAACTTAGGGCCAAACTCTGAATTTCTGAGCTGAAAGGGCCCTTTCCATAGCTCGCCAGGTCAACATACATCTCCAGGCACCAAGCAGGCTGAGTCCTAGGCAGAGGCAGATGTAGACAGCAGCTCCACTGCACTCAAACACAAAAGCATAAAAAGAAAACGTTCCACCTGCTCCGATGCTAGCTAGCCTTCGCTGTCTCGAGGAGGAAGCTGGCTTCCGGAGGTCACATGGCCCCTTCATGACAGCTCAAGCCAGACTGTCTTAGGACTCCGGTCGCAAGTCCTGGCGCATCTCTGGCCTCCACTTCGCACCGAGGACCCAAACGTCAGCAAGGACAACATCTTCCCCTCCCATCTCCCATCCCATCCCTGCAAAAATAAAACTAACAGACACTGCAAATGTGACGGCCACAGAAAGCCCCATGGGGAACTTTCTTCCACCTGCAGTTGCCCTCATTTACCGTTCGCTCTGACAGTCGACAATTTCCATCAGTCACGCTTCAAACCCCCCAGCCTGCAGGCCGAGTTCCCACCACCTACCCATCCGAGGGGATATCCAGGGCCAAACCAAGGACAAAATGCTGCGCCCTTTAGAGTAGTCACGCTCGAAACATAAATTTCCCTCTCCGGAAAGGTGGCAACCGGGGGGGGGGGGGGACCGGGACCCCTGAGGGGGTCAAGCCGGAGAGAAAGGCCCTGAGGTCATAGCAGCCGCTTCTAAAATTACTTGGCGCAGGCTTTGTGGGAGGGAAGAAAGCGGGAATCTAAAAGGCACGGCCCTCAATACCGGAGGCGCGGGATGCCGCGCGCAGCACCTGGGGAACGGAGAGGACCGAGGGCGCGACCCGGGCGCGGGGGCCTGAGGCGGACACTGCCCCGCTCCCTGGGGAGCTCTCTCCGCCCAGCCCCGCGGCTGAGGCCGGAGCGCGCGGCGGGCGCCGGGCCCGGCTCGGCTCTGCGCGGAGGGGCTGAGGCCGCCGCGCATCCCGGGGTCGCGGAGGAGGGTGCTGCGGGAACGCGCAGGCCCCGCCGCGGGCCGGTGACAGCGCGCGGGGGCCGTGCCAGGCCGGCCTCGTGGGCGCGGCGGCAGCTCTCGTCCCGGGCGTGGGCGGCAGGTGGAGGCTGGAGTGGGGCGCGGCTGTCCCCGCTCTCACCTGGCTGCGGCTCGCGGGGCTCCGTTCTGCGCCGCGCTTCGGCCCCGCCGTCCCTAAGGCCGCTGCCGCCACTGCCTCCGGTCCCCGCGACAGCCGCCTGCAAAATGGCGCCGCAGAGGGGCGGGCCCGGGGCGGGGAGCCGCCGAGCCGCCCGCCCCCGCGCCGGCCGGGCCCACCCCGTCCCCGCCCCGACCCCTGCCCGCCGCCCGCGCTCGCCGCGGCCAGGGAGGGACCTGCGCCCCCGCCACACCTGCTCGGGACCCACCTGGGCCGCCTTGCCCTGGGTTTCCGCCGCGGTTGCCGCTCGCACCCCGGGGCCCTAAGCGGCCGTCGCTGCGGGCGAGGACCGGCCGTGTGCGGGGCGCGAGCGGGGCTGTTTCAATGCAGTCTCGCCGCGTCCCCACTTACACCGAGTTTCTTTCCTCTGGGAGAAGGGGTCCTCGGTACCGTGTCACATGCGGCTATAGAGGCCACGCTGCTCACACTTGGGTTCCTGGGCTCGGATCGTCCCGGGGACAGGGGTTCTGGGCGTTTTTAAAATGTCCCCAGGGGCTGCCTACTGGGTAGCTGCTTGGGCGGCGCAAACTCGAGAAGCTCAGAGTTGTGAGTGGCTGCTCTGGTGCGGGGCAAGCCCAGCCCTGAGGGATTGAGACTCAGGGCTGGGCCCCACCCAGTGAGGCTGGAGGCCTGGAGGCCTGGAGGCCTGGAGGGCTCATCGTTAGGGCTGTTTTAAACCTTGCACCTTCAAACCTGACGTTATCATAATTTCTTTACTGACCTAGTGACAGCTCTTGCTTCCCAGCAACTCTTGAGAGCCATAAAGAAGTGCGGGCTCCATCGACCTCGCAGTTAAGATTTTATCCTTGAAACTGAGGATGTCACACAAATCGGTGGGGAGGATTCGAAGATAACCAGCACCTAGGGGAATGTTATAAAATAAGAAAGGATGAAAAAAGAAAACAAAAGAAAGCCGGGTGTGGTGGCCCACACCTGTTCTTCCAGCCCTGGGGAGGAGGCTGAGACTGAGGCAGGAGAGTAGCCATGAGTTTAAGGACAGCCTGGGGTACATAGTGAGACCCTGTCTCAAAAACCAAAACTATAAAATGAAAACGAGTATTTGTATACTTCGGAAGGCCAAGTGTTTAGCCTTAATTGAAGATGGAGAAAATAAGAATCTATGAGTCTGTGACCAGCAAGCAGAGAAAAACTCACACACTACCCAATAACCATCGTTTTCTACCCTAATGAGAACATTTTATAGCCAGCTTTTTTTTCCTTTTTAAATACTGTGTGTTCTGCTCAGCAAGGGTATGGACCTCTGGGCTAGAAAGGAAGTGCCAAGGTCAAGAATCCCTGAGCAGATAAATCTGCCCTTTTTCCCCATTGACGTCATTAATTCTGGTCCGTGCATTGTCCCCCGCCCCTCCCCAGACCTTCCCTGCGGCAGAATCCCCAACCTCTGCCCCTCCCCCACCCCTCCTCAAGCACTGTCACTCAGCTTCCTCCGACGTCATCTGTGACCTTCCAATAGCCACATCCCTTGACCTTCCAATAGCCACATCCCTTTGTCTGTTTACAATCCTTTTCTTCTTCAATGGTTCGGTAACATTCCATTGACTTGTGGCTCCTGGAATCTCTTTTCTTGTGATAATACCAGAGTCTGGCTTACCAAAGTCTGGTGAAATGATCTTTCTCTGGCTCTACCCTAGAAATGTTGGTATTCCCTGATGCCTCTTCCTCCCCATCTTTCCCGCTTCCCGCTCCAAGGTCAGCCATCTCCTCCTGTGATAGGGACCTAGAGGCTGGGCCTGCCTCTAGATGACCAATGGGTAACTAAAAGCAGAAGAAAACTTGCTTGGTATCTCCGCTTTCATTTTATATGTCTCCTTTCTTGTTGTTGTTGAGACAGGATCTTGCTATGTAGCCTAAACTGCCCTTGAACTCACCTGGAGCCTCCTGCCTCAGCCTCCCTAGTGCTGGGATCACAGGCATGTACACCACACTGGGTCCTGTCTCCTTCATTACCTTAAAACTGTGACACATGTTCCTGCTCAGCTGTTCATGTAGGCATGTGACTCTTTTTTTTGGTACCTCGGATAGAACTCGGGACCTTGCACTTGGGAAGCAGGAGGTGGAACCACTGAACTAAATCCCTGGCCCAAGGCATGTGACTCTTAAGGAGTGTCTATGTTACAAGGTTTGTGAGCCCTAGGTTTACCTAGCCTGTCTCATCCCCCTCAAGCCCGAGGTCCTGGAGAGAGGAGTAACTGAACCATTTTCAGAACTTGCAGGAGCATCTAATTGCCAGCTGTTACATTATCCAGTTCCAGGCACCCAGGAGTGATGCCTACAAGTCTTGACCCATTGTCCTAAACCTCCAGCCACCAAGGTTTCCAGGAAAAGCAGGTCACAGGACACCCACTGATGAGGTCACCCCAAGCAGGAAGTTACCTCATGACAGGCACTCATGCAGCCTCCCCAGGCAGGAGCTGCCACATCTGACCAACCGAGCCACCACCGGGACCGGGGCAAACCCCCAGCCCTTGCCTTGTTCCCCTTTTCTATAAAACCTCAAAGTTTGTCAGCCCATGAAGACAGATCATGAAGCACTCTGATCCTCCCAGCAAGGCCACACTGATTAGAGCTACTACCTTGCCCCCAGCACCTCTCCTTAATGGGCATTTTGGGACAGGTGGCCAAGCCCTCAGGCCACCTGGGGCTGGAACTTTTGCCCTAAAACTCCAGAAACACTCATGCTTCCCAGACCTCTCTCTCCAGACCATACAGATGCACAAACATGTCTGCTTTGGCTGGACAACCAAGGGCGTTCTCCAGGAATTGTGAATAGAGTTGGCACTATCCACAGGTTGTAATCTGCAGATTCAGATAACCGTGGATCAAAAATATTCAGGGAAAGCAGGCGTGATGGTGCAAGCCTGTAATCTCTGAACTCAGGAGGCTGAGGCAGGAGGATGATGAGTTAGAGGCCAACCTGGGCTACAAAGTTCAAAGCCAGCATGGATTGTATTATAAAACCTTGTCTCCAAAAAAAAAAAAAGAAATCCACATCAAAAAACAAAAAAATATTGGGAGGCTATTGCATCTGTATTGAACATGTACAGATGTTTTTCTTATTATTTCCCAAACATTGCAGTATAACAACTATTTATCTGGCATTGGCCCTAGATCAGGAATTATAAGTGGTCTAGGCAGGACAGAAGTCCATGGGAGACTTTGGGTAGGTTTAAAAATCCTATGGCAGGGCCAGGGATTTAGCTTAGTGGTTTTGATACCTGCTGCACAAGTGCAAGGACCCAAGTTCGATCCCTGGTACCAAAAAAAAAAAATCCTATGGCATTTTACCTAAAGGACTTGAGCATCTGGGGACTTTGGTATCCGGGAAGGCAGGATGTCCTAAGTCACCAAGGAAAGCTGGTCACACATCTCCACTGTGCACTCATCATTCACCTCCTACAAACCTGGTTTTTATCTGGGTTCTCTCGTTTTACCACCAGAAACTTTGAAGTGGTATTTGAGTCCCTGACCCCATCCCACATGTCTGCTTCATTACCTGTGGCCAACTTGAGCAGGGAAGGTGTTTCTAGAATTCTCTTCTCAGCCAGCAGAGGCACAGACCCTCACTTGCTTTTCTCCAACCCAGTCAGAGACCATTTTAGGGACAGACGACAGACAAACTCCCAGGCCCTCACCTATTATGCATTAAAGGCACAATCTGTGTTTTCTTCTGAGGCAATCAGAAACCTAAAAGTAGTTTTCACTTAAAACAAAAATAACAACAACACAACCCCAAAGACAAAAAATAGTGAATTAGTTGAGCACGGTGGCACAGACCTATATTACTAGCACTCAGGAGGCTGAGACAGGAGGATCACAAGTTTGAGGCCAGCCTGAACCACATAGTGAGACCTGTCTCAAAACAAACAAAACAGGGCCGGGGATCGAACTCAGGTCCTTGTGCTTGCTGATCCCCGGTACCACCACCACCACCCCACCACCACCCCCCCGCCAAAAAAAAAAAAGAAAGAATAAAAACAAGTGACAGCTGGGGATTTAGCTCAGTGGCACCGCGCCTGCGTGGAAAGTGAGTTGGATTCCCAGTACAGATGAAAGACAGAGAGAGAGAGAGAGAGACAGCTTTGCCTCCATTGGTATCTGTTTCCTTCGCTGCCTAAAGACCTTGGGTCCCTTCCTTTCTCAGTTCAGCATGCTGATCACGTGGGAAGGATCTGTCTATAGCCGGCATGCGATGCTGATGAGCCCTCAGCATCCTCACCCTGTCTCAGCCTCTCTCCACACTGAGGCGCTGCTGAGGGGTGCAGAGGGACACTCAGGGACACCATGGAGTGGCCAGCTGACCCCTGAAGCTACAGTCACTTGGGATCCCAGCAGAGCCTCCCCAGAGGCTGCCCCAGGAAAATAATCTCTTGTGGAGATAAATCTTGTAGGACTCTTCTAAAGCCATCTTGCAAGATCAGAATGCAGATAACCATCACCAGACCCTGAGCCATGTGGCAAATCCATAAAATATGGTCTGATCTTTTGTTCACAGGTCAGGCTGACACTTCGTCATAGCTGAGCCCCTTTGCCTCTCAAGCTGAAGTCCCCTCCCTATTTTATCTTCCTTTCTGACTCTGCCTAATAAATCTGGCTATGCTTATCACTGACACTTACTGAAATTATTTTGCTGAGCTGGGCATGGTGGCACACACCTGTAAGATCACCTTGAGTTTGAGGAGAGCCAGGCTACAAATGAGTTCAAGGCCAGCCTGAACTGCTAGCAAGATCTTGTCTCAAAAGATAAAACAAGTAAAAATAAATAAATAGAAAAAAGAAAAAGAAAGATTCTTTTTTCTGCAACAAGTCAAGAACCCACTCCCCAGAATGAGTTGAGGTGCCCATCTCCTGATTTGGGGGACCTCCTCTGACCCGGCCCAGCCTCTTGAGCTACCTTTGAGAGTTATTACCCCAAGCCATTCTTATCATTATGAAGCAGAAGGGCCCCCTCTTACCCCTGCTGAGAGTCCTTCAGGGGGCCCCTCAGTCTCAAGAATGGCCCACCAAGAAGCAGCAGAATATGGTCACTTTCCCAACATGGCTTTTGTGGCCCTGCAGCCCTCTAACCCCAGGCTTGGTTATTTTCTCTGCACAAAATCTGCCGGCAGGCTGGGGATACCCCAACCTCAGCCTTTCACCCACTCAAAGTGTTGATTCAGTCTTCAATGCCTTTTTTTTCTTTTTTTTTTTTTTTTTTTTGAGACTGTGTTTTTCTTGGCTTCCAGGCTGGCCTTGGACTCACTATGTAGCCCAGGCTGAATTTATAGTGATCCTCCTGCCTCAGCCTACCAAATGCTGGGATTACTGCCATGCACTAACACACTTGGCTTCAATGTCATTATTTTTATACAATTATTTTTATCATTATCATCAATTCAAAAAAATTCATGAACATTTTCCATTCACTTGCTTTTCTTTGTATTTTCCATTTATTTTTCTTTCTTATTGTATCTGACATTAACCACCCCCCCCACCCCCCGCCCCCCAAGGTCCTCTAAACCAAACTCCATCAGTGTCAAGCCCGCCTTATGGCCTGGTTAATGTGAGTGAAATGCCAGTTACATCCAGGCTGTCTTATTTTTGAGAAATAATTGTAGCTTGAGGCTATTCCATCTTCAAACTGCTTTTTCATATTATTCCCAACATTTCCCTGGAGTTTAAACCAGGAGGAAACTTTTTCTGGCAAGATCAGAGAGTGAATGTTTTCCAGCTTTGTGGGCCAAGGGGCGAAATCACTGATATTATTTGTGTCCTTGTATAGTGAGAGAAAAGGAATTACCATAGATTTTTTTATTGATGAAATTCAAAATATAATAAAAATATTCATGTATAATATTTTTGTAATATATGCCTACTAGCCAGGCATGGTGGTGCATGCCTATAATACCAGCACGCTGGGAGGCTGAGGCAAGAAGATTATAAATTTGAGTCCAGACTGGGCAATTTAGTGATCTAGCAAGACCCAGTCTCAAAAATAAAAAATAAGAAAGGACTGGAGATGTAGCTCAGTGAAAAGGCCCTGGGTTCCATTCCCAGTACCGAAATATATATATAGGTCCACGAATGAGAGCATGGGCTTTTGGCATGGGAATATGATTTAGCTTAAGTGAGGCTCAAAGTTATTGTTTCATTTCATTAAAT